TTTTTACCAAAAATTTTTACTCTTGTTTAGTTAAATTTTAAAAAGAATATTTTTGTCATTTTAAAAACATGTGGAGGTGCCAAATTGTGGTACGATAAAATCTCTCACAATCGCTTATTTTCAGTGGGGCCTACCTGCTGTGTTATTGCATTAACCTAATGAATATAAAAATAAATCTAAATTTGTACATCAACAATGATGAAGAAAGAATGCTTTGCAATATGAAAGATAAATTGTCAAAAAAAATTTGTCCAAAAATTTTCTAAGGAGAAACGATTTCATGAAGAATTATTATTTTTGGAAGAAATCTAAGAAAAATATTTTATAATTATCTCGTATCAAAAGATTTAAAGAATTTTAAAAGGAAGAAAATTGAGTTTGGTTCTAGAAAGAACCAATGAGAAATAGTTTTTTAAAGCTTATTTCTTATTTGATAAGAGGTAAGTTATTTGGCAGAGAATGAACTCGAAAAATTCCGGTTATTCTTCTAACAAGTGTTAAGTTATCGTTTTAATATATTTAATTTATTTTCACCACTAACTGTGTTTAAAAAGGGGCCAAATAATTTACTCAAAGTTTTTATCAAGTCCAAAATAAATTCAAAACTTACGTCTGTTTTTAGAAGTCACACCGTAATTAGAAGGTTATGGGTATAAAGAACTCTAATCTCCAAGACAATGGGGTCATAGACCAAAGTGCCCATGCTGGGCATGCATACCATGCTCTAGTGCAATAAAATTCTCAATACACAGACCCATAAGGGGGAGAAGTACAATTTTATATCCTGCTTAAATGCGCCTATAAGTATCTATGCTTCATCAGGTAACTCATATTTTTATGAGATATTAGTTTATTATGATCTATGTGTTTGTGTTATCTTTCCTAATTTTTTGATTATGCCAAAGGGGAAAAATACATTTTCATGGGAGTAAAGTATGTTCTCTTTATCTTTGATGGGGAGTTTAATCACTACAAGTATTTAACCATTATTTTTTATTTACCACCTCTCTAAGAAATGCATTGAAATTTTGAAAAAAAGAAAAAGAAAAATATAGACCTATGTGATTGCAGGTATCACCATCAACTGTTTTAATGATGACAATTAATGAAGCAACTTTAAAGATAATTGAGACAACTTATGTCCCATAGAAGGAACTCTATGTAAAGCGTTGAAACCATTTAATGAAACATGTAGAAAACTTAAACTTAAAAAAACACTATGTTACTAGAAATACATTGCTTTATTATCAAAAGACTCAAAAGACACAATTATGAAAGGCACACAAGCTGTACAAAAACAAGACATAAACCACCATCACACAGTACCAATATCTACATTGATATAAGAAGTGAAAAGTTCATTATCTTCAACCTTCAAGCTTTTCTCTGATAGAATTTAGAAATATAGATAATAACACAATACAAAACATATAGGGAATAAGATTTTATGTACAAGTCCAAAAGACGGGATGGGATGTAAAATAGGAATACATATGTCAAACACAAGTAAATGTTCAAGTGTATAATACTCCTATGTTAATTTCCAAAATATACCGTATCTATCATGATGTATTTCTAAATTATATGCTGACTCAAACTATTAAGCACTATCAAGAACATCCTCCCAATTACTGAGATCAAATGTCATGAGACCACATGTCACAAACGTTCTCCCATTTACTAAGAACAATGCCTCTCGGCTTCATATAGAACCCAAGTGTTATAAATCGACCGCTCCTAAGAAAACAGGCTAAGATCTCATTATCTTGCCAAGTGCGTAGTAATAATCCTCGTTAGATTATGGCATCTCTAACCTTAAATTGGACTTACGCATTCATAAATGCAAATCTATATGCAATCTCAATCAGATTATGGCAAATCTAACCCAAAATTGTAATTTAATCCTCAAGAATTCACCATTTCAATTCTTACATATAGTAGTCACTAAGGTTGAGTGCCAATTACCATCAATAATCTTATAATGTCATTTCCTCACACAAACCTTTCATCTGTACAATAAGTGTGGATCCATGTGCCATATCTATAAGTTAACTTGTTCCTTTTACATGAGATTTATGTGATTATATATATATATATATATATATATATATATATATATATATATATATATATATATATATATATATATATATATATATATATATATATATATATATATATATATATATATATATATATATATATATATATATATATATATATATATATATATATATATATATATATATATATATATATATATATATATATATATATATATATATATATATATATATACTTTTAAATACATAGTTTTATCTACCTTTTTTATTTTGAAAAAGGGAAAGAAGTATCCTTACATGGGAAGTAGGGTATATTGTCTACTTAATTGAGGAGGAGTTTAATCACTCCAAACACATCAAGATAATGATGATAAATAAGAAGCAAATCTCTGTCTCACGAAAAATCATCAAGACGATGAGGTAATCAATGTAATACCTTAGTTTCTAACTCTAAGAATATGTCACACTAAGAATGCGTTACTGCGAATATCTCATAAGTTAGTAAATTAATGGTATTTATTGATAAAGATTAAAGAATGGTAAGATGGTAAATTAAATTAATGTGTAAAGGGTAAAATGGAGAATTCACAAGGTCAGTGTAAATTTTGCCCGCATATTTCTCTAATATCAATATCAATTTTCTCTGCATAAAGTGAACTGAAAAATTGACAATTGAGAGGGAAGTTATTAAATTTATCTTCAATTTTCTCTGCATAAAGTGAACTGAAAAATTGACAATTGAAAGGGAAGTTATTAAATTTATTTCATTTTTTTTTAATTTAGTTGTTGTCATTGCCCTCGCATACTTAATCTATTTTATCGTTTAATTTAAGTTTACTATCTTTTTGGTCTCATATTAATGTCGAAGTTTAATTTATTTATTTTTAATTTAAAAAATTTATATTGATCATTTAACTCTTTAAAATATAATGTTTTAATTCTTTTTGTTATATTAGCGGTTGAATTTTGAAAAAAGATCATTAAATTTGTTGCTAATTAAATAAAAAGGACTAACATGATTTACTTTAAAGAGTTAAGTGACCAATATAATTATTTTTTTTAAATCATAAAATCAAAATGAATCTCAAAATTAATATAGAAAAAAAAATTAAATCTTTTATTTAATATGCATTCAACTTTCAACAACACAATATTTAACTTTCACATATCACCATTAACAATGGCATTTCATTTTTTAAAAACAATTTTGTTCTTTATGTTATTATTACTTTTAAGGTAATACTAATTTATCCCATTAGAGCACAAATTAAAAATTAAGTGTTGAAATTTTTTTTCAACTAACACATTTAACTTTCACATATCACCTTTAACAATGGTATTTCATTTTTTTAAAACAATTTTGTTGTTTATGTTATTATTATTTTTAAGGTAATACTAATTTATTTCTATTGGGGTACAAATTAAAAACTAAGTGTAAAAATATTTTTATTTTAAAAATTGTGCGTTGATTTTATCAAAAATTTATAATTAACTTTTTTATTATATTTTTCAATACAAATTTTTATTTATCAGGTTCTTAACGTATGTCTATGGGGAACAACTTGTCATTACTCTTATTTTTAATTTTGTAGCTTTTCTCAAAATTTTAAATTTTTGTTAAAAGTACAATTGAAACCTCCGTGGTAAAATTAGTTATGTTATTTGTAAGAATTAAATGAAATGTTCAATTTTACGGATAATTATAATTTTAATATATATTTTATTTTAATCAACAATTATTTTTATTTAAATTTATATAATAATTATTAATTTTACAATAAAATCATTCATTTTAAATTTTATTGTTAATACATACCTCTAAATATATTTTATACCGTATCAAATTTATTCAGATATCTTAATAGATATATAAAATAAAAAGGACACTAAGGGTGTGTTTGGTTCGGGGTAGATGGAGGGGAGGGGAAATTTTTAATTAAATATGTTTGGTTCAAATTTTAGGAGGGGAGGGGAGGAGAGCAAAATCCCTCCAAAACACATTTTTTGGTTCCCTCCGAATTGGGGGGATTTGGAGGGGAGGGGAGGGAATATGAGTTTTAATATTTAAAATTTATTATATTTACTAAAATATCCTCAGTTTAATTTTATTATTTCAAAATTATTTGTTATCTTTTGTGTTACTGTTTTTTCTCGATTGTTTTCATCAAATTATTATAATTGTTCTCCATCTTCAAATTATTTTATAATTTTTATAATTAATATAAATCATAATCATTGTCTTTTTTTTATAAAAAAATTATGTTTCGTTATATTCGTTTTTTTCTTTTAATTTTGTTATGTACTCTATCATATTTTCTTTTATATCAAATTGTAAACCATATCATGTTATTTATTTTTGTTTATTCATTTTATTAAATATTTTGAACCATTAATATTTAGTAATAAGTTATTTTATATATTTGTTTTGTTATATGATTCATCATAATTTAAACGATCTTATTGGCATATAGTTTAATTTATGTTGGAAAGTTATAAGTCGAATCAATTATACTCAATTTTTTAACTTTATGTGACAAATAAATATTTTTTTAATCACTCAATATTAGAAATTTTATTACCAACAAAAATACGCACGAATTTTTCACATTTTAATATCGTATGACTTATATAAGATCATAAGGATAAAACTGTAAATTATTAATAAAACCCCTCCCATTCTGAACCAAACACATTTTTAATTAAAATCCCTCCCCTCCCCTCTCCTCCTCTCTTTTGAACCAAACACTTATTTGATTAAAAAATTCCTTCACCTCCCCTCCCCTCCCCTCCCCTTCATTAAAATCTCTCCCCTCCCTCCCCCTCATTTGAACCAAACAGACCCTAAAGAGTAAAGAGAATAAAGGAAGTGTCTTATTCATTAGTTTAATTCTAATACAAATAAATTTTCAACTGGCACAAACTCAAGCCTCTCCATTTTCATGTACTTCCACTTGGATAAATGCAAGCATTGTAACCTACAAAGAGAGCAGAAAAGAAATTCAAGTTAGATAACTAATTAATTGTATGATAATTCATTACTAGGCACATTAATTCATAAAAGCACAAAGATATAAAGAAAATTTACTTGGATTTTGTGATGTAAGAGTTGCTGTTTGAGAGAAATCACAATTCCAAGGATTTCTTCCAAACTTTTGGTAATAAAGATTCATTGCAAATGTAGCATGAGAAAGTGTTGTATCAGGTTCATAACAAGCACCTCCTTCTTGAATTGGTCCACAGTCTATCCCTTCTCTACTACATACATAATCAAGATTTACCTGCAATTCAACGTCTGACACTCCTCCTTTTGGAACGCACCATTGCGTTGTTTTCATCGGAGGACTCTGAATAAAGATGATATTAGTTACAAGATAATTACAAATTTATTATACTAAATAGAAGTTAGTTATTAATAACAAGTTAGTTACAAATTTGTTATGCAAATTAGTTATTAATTGTAAGTTAGTTATAAGTTGGTTACAAATTGGTTACACTAACCTTTTGCGTAGACTTTGATAAACCGACATCATATGCAAGGGTGAGATCGGTTTTGTAAAGACCAAAAGCGCGTTCGGATGCAGGGCCAGGTTTCAAATCTTCGTCATAGAGAGCAAAAATGTATGTGTCAATGGATTTACCAGGCATCAAAGGAGTACCAACCAATGATCTAAGATGTGTAATTAGGTTTCCATTATATGCTTTGGCGTTTTCAAGACTTGGTCCTACTTCATTGGTGTCACCACGGGTAGGCCATCCTGTTTCAGCAACCACAATCTCTATGTCTTGAAATCCCATTCCACTTAATGCTGAGTGTACAGCATCAACCTGATTAATATAATTCAAACCCTAAGTTTTGTTTAATTATTTGATTATTAAAATGTTGAGGGCACTGTATATAAGATAAAGTCAAATGGGATTTAGAGAAGTTGTAATTTTTTCTTCTATTTATAATAAAAAAATAAAGGATTATTTTCTAAATTCACTATAGTCCATTTTAACTTTAGTTTATGTCCTACAAAAATTAATCATGACCATGTGGTTTAACAACTAGCCAGGCTGTCAAAAACATGCAATGCAATGATACTCTTATCATCAAAATCAAATCAAGGGACATACATAGGATAGGAACATAGTGAAAAAGTCTTAAATTATAATTTTTTAAAAATAATTAATTTATAAATATTAACAATTTATTTATATTAATACATTTATAAATACTGCACCTAAAAGATTGAACACTGAATAGACAGTTGACACATATTTATTTAACTTAACTAGTTGTAAATCTAAAATTGCATATTAAAAATGTAAATTTTAGGTCCTAGTTGTGGACCAAATGGCAACGTTAAATTGCTGAATAAACCTATTACTGTATATACATATAGTCCAATATAACAACTTTTGTAAGTTTCCGCACTAAAATAACAAGATGCGTGACCCTGACTTTTTAACCTCTCTGCTGTAGCACACCAAAAGGAATGGAAAATCATTACAAAAGTAGAATCTTCTGAAAAAGAATACTATTTCTTATGTTATATATATATAATTTTGTTATTAATATTAACACTCTTAAAGTCCCGTTTTTTTTATTAATAATATTTTTTATTACAGTTTATAATTTTAAATTGTGTGTGCGCCTAGAATAAAGCGTGCTGATGATTATTTAGGAAAGGAACAGAATTGTATGGTTTTAATTCTAGATCAAACTCGACTTTTCATAGTGAACATTTTAGACACGTGGCATGCAAGTAGAGGACCAAAATTTACTATTGTTGGTTGACTGAAAAGTCAACATTTTACCATAAAATAAAAATAAATTAATAACTGACCTGGGCGTCGAACATGTTTGTGTAAAGTTTACCGTTACCCGAATCAACCCGACCCGAATTCGGCTGGAACAAACAAAATGCAAGTGTTTCGGATCTCGGGTCACTCTGGTAAGCGAAAAACGGGTACGGGTTAATAGTGAACGGTGATTTGTTATCTTTCTGAAACGCCAGCAATTGTTTGAGTGTGCTTTGAAGAGCCGGGTCGAACGACCCGGAAGATGGAGGATTCGACTGAGTCAACACAGCCATAGAATGAACCGTGGAAACCTTAATCTTGCCACCGAGTGAGACCGAGTTGAGGGCATTTTGGACATTTTGAATCGCCGGGAATAGCTGGGATATGAGACCAGTATCGCCGGAAGTCATGACTTCATTTCCGACGGTTATTAGAGTGATGTTGCTTGCTGGGTAGTATGGTAACACGTTTGAGTTAACCCACTGAGTCGCTGAGTTTGGATTTGAAGCTAGATTGGGAATGTCGCCGTTGGCGGCTCCGATGGTTATTCCGATACCGGAATTCGCCAGTGATTTGATGATAGCTGGATCGGCGCCGTAAAGACGGACTTTTCCGATGGAAGTGGATTTAAGTAGGTTGGCAGTCGCGTCCGGCGCCGGGAGATTATCGGCGACTTGGCCATAGTTTACTCCGACGAAGGATTGCGAATCTGAAAGATAAATTCAAAATGACCCAATACCCCAAATCAATTCTAAAAGACTCAAACAGTTTAAAAATTGAATCAAAATCTAAAATTGAATGATGGGTCATTCTTTTCGAAACACAAAAAAAAGTCCACAGTTCACATAGAAAAAAAGTACAAACTTTCATTTTTGTACTGAAAGAAAGTTATTAGAAAGTAACGTTGCTTTTCCTTGAAAGAGAAAGCATAGTTAAATGAAAATGAAAAGAGAAAAAGTTTCTTTTTGGAAGAACAAACCAGCAAAGCAGAGTGCAATGGCGATGATGGAAAGGAAAAGGAGGAATGAAGGATTGGAAATTGTAGCCATGGCTTCAAAATCTAAGCTTTTACCAAGTAAATTCTTGAGTTGAGTAGCTTGAACTTTGAAGATGATGTTGTTTTATTTATATAAGGAACTTGGAAAAGAAAACCAAAACTAACAATGAAGATGAAAATGTTTCACACTTTCACATTACTTTCTTGTTTTTTTTTTATTGACAAAATGTTTTACATCATTTTTCTACACCTAACTTCTACACTTACTATATCTATATTATTATTTATTTTCATTTTTCTTCTCTTTTCTTGTTTTCTTTTGATATTTATTTTCTTTTGGAGGGTAAATAATTTATGGTATGTTTGGACCTTGGAATGAGGGACCTTGGAAAGTATGTATTACAAAATTGATGGAACTGATTCCATCCTTTAGTTTTGAGTCATCATGGAAAGGAATAGAAATATACAATATGGTCCCATAAAATTCCTAATTGAATTTATTTAATTTTGTCAAAAAGTCATATATATATATATATATATATATATATATATATATATATATATATATATATATATATATATATATATATATATATATATATATATATATATATATATATATATATATATATATATATATATATATATATATATATATATATATATATATATATATATATATATATATATATATATATCGGTCAAAAAGTATTGGTGTGTATGTTTCTCTGTAAGGGTAAGGTGATTCAAAGGCCTTAGTATGTTTATAACACATTGTGGTGATGATGACTTGTCTGCGACGGCGAGAAGTTTTGTACATTTGTGTTTTGAGGTGATTTATGGGACATATCCACGTGAGGTAAGAGGCCTTGCTTATGACTGGTGATGCTTGGTAGCAAGCGTACAATCACTGACGGACGTGTGCCAAAACGGTAGTGAGTGTTGTGCTCTTTAGGGTGTTAAGAATGTATATTAGTTGGGGTCAGTCTCTTCTTTTGAGAGAAAATGTGTTTATAGAGGTCTCTAGAACCTAAGGTTTTCTCAAAAAGGGCCACCACCTACTTAGTTAACAGTGGAATTCCTATTTTCAAGGAAGTCGTTGGTCAATTATGTACCTTGACTTTATCTCTGCCCCACAAAGCGTTTTATCCCACGTTTTCCACGTTGGGGTGAGGGAAGACTACATGGCAAGGTGATGCTTGTAACACTTTAGACTGCATTTAGGATTACCGATGACCCCACAAACCAACATGAGTCTTTTCAGCATGTTTTGTCCTCACTTTAACACTTTTCAAATTTTTTTGCAAAAGGTCACCCATCCAAATACTACTCTAAGTCAAACACACTTAACTATGGAGTTCTTATTTGTTAGGCTACCGAAAAGAAGATGCATCTTGTCGGTATATGTAGTACTAATCAATCCTTATAAGCATTCTTTCAACCATGCAATCCCTTACCTGCACAACCTCAAAATCCCTCTCATTCCGATGTGAATTCAGGAGGTCACTCTTCTGCCCTCTTTGGATCTGGATGTTATAACCACTCCCGTTCTATTCGGCCTTGGGTGTTACATGCCCACCATCTTTTGCTTGGTTCTTCCCCAAACCACATTGTATTGGGAGAGGTCTGCTATAATACCTTTTGTAACACCCCATATTGCTTTAAGGATTAATGAATTACCGCACAAACTAACACGAGTCTTTTCAGCATGCTTTATACTCATTCGCGTGCTTTTCGAGAAACTTCCCAAAAGGTTACCCATACAAATACTACTCCAAGTCAAGCCCTTCACATTTTATATAGTTTTTTAGATAGTAGGGTGTACTTAGTAGCATGTTTTTGGATCCTTATTGCATCTCCTTCATCCAATGTTAGTTCGTTGTGCTGCATGTTATGCAATATGGGCGACATCCAGCTAGACACAAGGATAAATTCTTGAGGGTATACCTCGCCTACCTCAGTGTTGGGAGAGGCAAGGATCTCATGGATAGCTGTTCTTTCCCAAAATAAACACAGGAATAATAACATTAATAATAAGAACAATGATAAAAGAAATAAGCATTTAATCCCGGTTCACCGTTAAGTAGGCTACATCTAGTCTACCCACCTAAGTGATTTTCCTTAGACAAAGACTTAATCCAATAACCAATCTGATTACAAAGCGATGACAACTTGTCACTGATTTCTTAAGAGTCTGACCTACCTAGTTGCTTAAGAAATCTTGACATTCATTGAATCCTTAAGATTTTGACCAAATTGGTCGCTTAAGAAGATTCCTCCTCGATGACTACCTGTCACTGACTTCTCAAGAGCCTTACCAACTTGGTCGCTTGAGGAATACAACCAATTGGGTTACAACAATTTTGTGTTTACAGAGTTTGCTTATTGATAAACTAATAACACAAAATATTAAGATCAGATGAATACACACTCTTTCTCTCTCACATCCATATCCACACACACACACACACACACACACACACACTCTCTCTCTCTCTCTCTCTCTCTCTCTCTCTCTCTCTCTCTCTCTCTCTCTCATGTATTCCATATTCTTCTTCCTTAAAATATATAAAATATGAATAGATCTATTGGAGGAAACATCCGTTAGAGCGTAGAATATGATTTGAGCTTAAAGTATCTACTGTATGAAGGTCACTTCATGTGCACCAGTTGAGCAGTGCTTATGTAACACCCCACTTCCCAACTTAAATAAAATGCGAATAAATCAATTAAAATATCAGAGTTTCTCTTCCAAAAGTGGGATATTACTTTTCACCAAAAATTTCCACAAAACATTTCATTAAAAGATTTTCAAAATAAGCAGCGGAAAAGAAATTTGTCATAACCTATATACATATATGTACATCATCTCATACATCATGTTCGACCATCTGCCTAAAATATACAAAACATCATCAATAGAATCCATCATCAAAACATGATACAACACGGAGTATAAACAAAATCATCAGATAGGCAATAAACTCCCCAAAGCCCCGTGTTATGTATCAGAGCATCCTAGACTCGATCAGCTCACCGTTATCCAACTAGATAAACACCTGGATTATATGTACTTCCGAAGAAGCACAGACCACAACAACAGTAAAGGGGTGAGAAAACATGATCGGAATATAACGGTAAATATTTACACGAAATAAAGGCAGTAAATAAATACATCATCACCCCACAAATCATCATACACGACCTACTATCCAATCATCAATCACAACATACAATAATGCACAAATGCAACTCAACACATGCATGCGGTACCGACTTAACTCAGGATAGATCGCATACACTCCATCTGAGCAATGATCTATCCCTACCACGCTCCTCCTGAGCCCATATAATCAAATCTCAGGATAGATCGCATACACTCCATCCGAGCAACGATCTATCCCTACCACGATTACGGGTGAATCGCATACACTCCATCCGAGCAACGATTCAACTCCGTAATCGCCGATGGACACTTGGCCATCAACCCTCCTCAAGGGAGCAACACGATCCTGCTGATCCCATCATGCATCATGCTATGCATACACCAACATCAAGCACACTAGGTGCACATGATCCTACTGATCCATCATCATACAACACACAACCATCAAGCACACAAGGTGCACGCGATCCTACTGATCCATCATCATACATCGCGCACACACACACACACACACACACACACACACACACACACACACACACACACACATATATATATATATATCACAATCAATCAATCGAATTAATCACATTAGACATTGGCAAAACAGCCCTATAACACTCAACATACACCCAGCATCCTTGCACTGTCTCTGTACATCAAACAGATCGCAATCATCAACATCAGATGAACACAGCTCAAATAAAACAAAATACTGCTACGTTCGCTACCTTGCTCGCTACGCGAGCTCCTAGCGAACGCTCGCTACACGTTCGCCTAGCAAACTTGCTCGCGAATCACACTTCTGAGCTACTGGAAGTGTTCGCTACCACCTCACTGGGACTTCGCCTCGCGAATCCTTCGCTACACCTCTCGCCTAGCGAACCTGCTAGCGAGTACAGAAATATGGCCACTGGAATGGCTCGCGACCTAGCGAGCACCTAACGAATGCTCGCTACTCACTCGCCTAGCGATGAGCTAGCGAGTGTCTGCGATTCTAGAAAAATCCCACTGTGTAGAATCTCAATAGCAGCTCAAAACTCAACAAATTCTCTCTAGATCAGTACCAACAACCTCAACTTAGCATTCTACATAAATTCTACCCAACTAATTCTAAAATTATCCGATAAAATATCAACTTCTGCTGACTAATCCACTTTCGGCTTAAAACCTTAATCTACTCCGAAATATCCAATTCACCCAAACAATCATCAAACATTACATGCAATGATTCCACCATGAACAACAAAAAAAATCAGAAACTTAATCAACCACATGCAATTATCATCATGCAATTCATCATCATCAAAACCTATGGGGTTAAGGACTCCCCAACTACCCTTATTCATGCATTACCAATTTCCCATCTATTTTATCCCCTTACCTCAATAAGCAGCTTGATCGATGATAATCCGCAAATTCCAACAACTTGATCTTCTTCCTCCTCTTGCTCAAGCTTGCTTCACTTTACCGTGTCCTTGCTTCTCCTTCCTTTGATCGTGCTTTTTTCTCTTCAATTATTTCTAAATGCCACTCTTGCCCTTAATCCCAAATAATAAAGAAAATCTTATTTTCTTGTATTCCAAATTAATTCCAATAATATAAATCCTCATAGTATTAATATCCATAATAATAATAATAATAATAATAATAATAATAATAATAATAAGAATAATATTAACATTACTATTAATTATTAATTTATTATCATTATCATTTATAATATATTAATATTAAAGGCCACAACTTCTCAAATAATTAAAATGGGCGTTACAACTCTCCTCCACTTTAATTATTTTCGTCCTCGAAAATACCTGATGGAAACAATTCTGGATACGCTTCCTGCATCCTACTTTCCAATTCCCAAGTCACACTGCCTCCTGCAG